TCTTAGGAGTTCGGGTGTTGTCAGAAACGATGACGACTTAAGGCCGAGCTCTTAGGAGTTCGGGTATTGTCAGAAACGATGACGACTTAAGGCTGAGTTCTTAATGGGAGAGGGGTTACTCGCATGCTCGTACATTTGCTCGGTTTTACGCAATATGGCTCGGTTCTTTGTCTTAAAACCGAGCATATGGTATTCACGAAATGGCTCGGTTCTTTGTCTTGAAACCTAGCGTATGGTATTCACAAATAGTGCTGGGTTTCGCCCGAATACCGGGCAGGATTTTTTGCGCGATATGGCTCGGTTTTTTGGTCATAAAAACCGAGCAGATGATACTCACGGTTGGTGTTCGGTTTCGCCGAATACCGAGCAGGATGTGCCGCGCGATGTGGCTCGGTTTTTTGGTCATAAAAACCGAGCAGGTGGTACTCACGTTTGGTGCTCGGTTTCGCCCGAATACCGAACAGGATTTTCTGCGCGATATGGCTCAGTTTTTTTTTTTGGTCATAAAAACCGAGCAGATGGTACTCACGTTTGGTGCTCGGTTTCGCCCGAATACCGAGTAGGATGTTCCGCGCAATATGGCTCGGTTTTTTGTCATCAAAAACCGAGCAGATTATTCCGTGTGCTAGCACTCGGTTTTTATTCCGTGTGCTAGCACTCGGTTTTTATTCCGTGTGCTAGCACTCGGTTTGACCCGGGTAACGAATCATGACACGGATACAATAAGCACAATAATTTAACGTGGCACGGTGTATTGAATTTAACAACCATGGGACGTTCAGGAGTGGTGCGAATTTATGCGATTACCACAACATATGTCATAAGACCAAATACAAAAGGTCATGGTTCATAAATTACCATCATAGCAAAAGATTAAGGGGACAGTCATTGAAGTGGCGGAAGTAGAGTTGCAACAAGTTATGACTAACATCATTACAAAATTATAAAGAAATAACCATCTAAAGGATAGGGTCTTCGTTGGTAGGGGCATTTTGATCGGTCTGAGAGGGTGTCACATTCTCTTCGGGCTCGGTATCTTCCTTGCTATGATGAATTTGCTCGATATCGGACCCGATAAGCGCCGCGTCTGTCTCTATTTGTTTTTCTTCGGGCTCGGTACTTTTCCCCACAGCTTTCTTCAACTCCTCAAGACTCTGAAGAGTATTCTCAAGAACCGGCTCCCACCATGGGTAATCGAGTGAGAGGCTAGAGTCTCCGGCCCATCCGTCTGGATCAGGAAGCTTGCGGATCAATTCAGCCTCATCATAACTTTCTAATTTACCCGTGGCCCGGGCTTGTTCGAGAGCTCGGGTAGCCCCTACGAACAAATACTGTAGCGCGGCTGGCTTGAGTTGTGCCAGGAACGGCATCGAATCGTGGTACGACTCGAGCAGCTCCTCTCGATACACCTCAAGGAACTGAATTCCGTAGGGTGATGCTAGGAGGTTATGGAGGGTCTCTTGCTTAGCCGCAGCTTCTTTTCTGGCCGTCTCTTGCGCGTGTTAGAGTAGTATACCCAGAGTTCCAATTTGATTGGACGTATTCTACTTGTAAA